GACTTTTAAGGACCGTACGAACCCTGTAAAATGTTATTCAGCTGGACAATACAGTATGCAGATGTGACTGTATAAGATTTTCTGGAATATTTCGCTTGTATGTAGAATTCACGAAGACCTAACTTTGATAATGGAATATCTAACTTGTACACTGCATTATATTTCTTCATTTTATGTGTCCTAATCTTTTATACTCCAAGATAAACTATTTTTACTGAAATTGTTTCATTATAATTATTTGAGCTAGTAGTTAAAACAAATTCAGTTAGCTTGTGAGCTTTTAAAATGTCATTATTACTTCTCATGGGCATAAGTTTTGCAAACAGCCTTAAAAATTTTAAAATATAACTTCCTAGTTCCGAACAAGTTTAGCTGTTTTCATGCACGTGTTTTAGTCTTTTCCCTTTCTACAAATATTGGATGTTACATAGCATGCGAGTTGCAGGTATCTATTCATTTTGTGATTAAATATTATATTTCATACATCTTGTAATAACGACATACTCAAATTCTTCTTTAATATCCATTAATTTTTTACGCTTTGTAGACTTTTATACCTTTCTTTAGTTATTTCTATTCTTTTCCACGTTTTTTGGAGTAAGCCAATATTTTAAAGTTTTTTTAGAACAGGGTTTCTTTCTGACATTGAGATTTTTTCGCGACCTCCAGGACACCATAATATTTACAAAAATTTTGTGGGATCCCATAAGTATTGTGCAAATCCGACACACATGTGAGTGAAACTGTCAATTTTTTCACTTGTACTGTAATATACTATTGCAATTTAGGTCATTAATTTTAATTTCTAATTTTAAGACATAGAACAATGTGAAAATTTTAAATAAGTAACAGACGAAATGAGAGTGTCACGTGCAAAGCAAGGAAAATGAATATTTATATTAAAAAAAGAATGCGTCGAAACTTTTTTTTTTCTTTGTATGTATTGTCTATCTACATTGTGTAAAAATCTTTGATAATTGTAAAATTATTATAATAAGTTAAAGAAATATAAAAACTGCTAAAATTTTTGGCGAACCACAGTTTAAGAAACCCTGATCTGGAAGATATTAAGCAGCATTTTCTCATCTGTGCTTATTTACTTTTCCATATCTTCTGGAATGTTTTCACATCTTATTCCTTTTCTTATCTCTCAGCATAAATTGCTATTTTGAAGTCTTTAACTGTTATGTTATTCACATTATTTAATTGCATAACAGTGAGAATACATTTTGAGGAAAGTTCTCTAACTAAAGAATTAAGGCATTATCCTATATTTGAGTTCCTGATTTCTTGCTGCAAGAGGTTTTCTACTGTTAACAAATATCTTACCCAGTTTCCCCCCCTTCTATTGCATGCACTATCTTGAGGTATTTCTTGAATCTATTATTCCCTTTGACGCGCAGTGGTCGCATCCTGAAACCACCAATTTTCGAATTTTTTTCTCCTCTTCCTTCGGAAATTTACGAGTGAAAATAAATTGATTACTGATCTTTGATCTCTAAATAACACAAAATGACTACAGAATCATACATGTTTTAGGTCTTAGTACTTCAAATCGGATGCCTTTTAAAATTCGTTTTCAATGAGACAAAATAACTTTCTTTTATTAATATAAACAACGTTAAATTTCAAAAGTTATTTCATCGCACATCATGATTTCTATCATAAACAATCAAAAATAGTAATAATTAAACTGCATATATTAAAAAAAACCTCTATATGTATGGCATTTGCTTTGTGGTTTCATGGCGCGACCACTGCCCCTCAGTAGTCGCGCCTTGAAACCACTGCTCTTCACAATGGTGTTTGCTTGCTTCTCAAATAGAAATGTTTATTTTTACCCGGATATAGATAAGGGGTTTTGAAATCACAGAGTTATTTTATTACTAAACAATACATGCACCTGCCCAGTAAAAAGGTCTTTCTTTTCCAGACACTTTTCTCTGACCTCAACACACTTGCTCCCCAAGCTAGTATTGTGATTTTATAAATTAATTTATTTTAATTTTAAAATTTATTTGTGATTTTATAAATTATTTTCTGTGGTTTAAATTTAATGTAAATATACTTTGCTGTAATTACAAATAGAAATCGCATAAAGTTTTATTAAATTAAAAATTTTGAATATTTTGAGACGAAATACGAATAAAATAAGTATGAATGGGAAACGAATGATCCATACCAAAGCCAAAAAGACCAAAAAATATTTGTTCTTTGAAATTTAAAAAAAAAATTTTTTTTTAAAAAAAAAAAAAAAAGTGTAAAAAAAAAAAAATGTAGCCGAGAACATCCTTATTATGTAGGTACTTTTATGTACTTTCCCTTCTATAGAAAAATTACAGTAAATGTTTATTTTAAAATTTTTTCTGATGATTTAGTTTGTAAAATAATGTAACAAATATATATATTATGCAATTCTTACATGCATTTTGTTTTAAAAAATTTGTAAATTTCGTCATTTATTGGAAACGCGCACGGAGAAAGGGTAAGTTTTTTCCCCTACTTTCCTAGGGTAAGTTTCAAAGTCCTAGATGCGCGGTGGTTTCACAGTGCGACTACCACCCACAAAAACAGTGGGCAAGAGTAGAATTTTTGAAAATTCATATATTATTTGTCTCTACGGATCATAATATTCAATTCTAGAGTTTTTAGTTAAAAAAAATTATAAATTATAAAAATAATATTGTGTGCGTCAAAGGGTTAAGACTCCTTCATATTTTTAATCCTAAATTTCTTGGCTTATCTTACATAACTGCTAATATGTTACTCATTGAACATGAAAGGATGCTTTTAGCTTGAAATTCTCCCCCCCCCTCTAATTTTTACATGTTTTTCACATGGCCCGGCATTTAAAACATGTTCTAAACCTTTATCTTCCAGAACCGGCTCAATTCTAAATATCTAAGCAATTCACTTGTTTTTTTTCAATTCATATTTCCTAATAAGTTTCTATTATGCAGCTATCAGCAATAACGAGTAATGTTACTTCTGGCATACTTTTAGTATTTTGTCATATTTCTTCAGCCCATAATGCTACTGCTGACTTTCATAAAAATGCACAGTACAAATTAAATTTACTACACAAATTCTTTTATACTGCGTCAACTGTATTTTCATAACACAACAAAACTACTTAACCCGCGAGAACTCGCACCGGGTCTGACATTTTCATTCAACATTTTTGTTACTTTCTTCTTATCAGATTAAGCCAGAATTTGGTGTAGCTGTATTTAAGGTCACATTCTTTCAGAAGGGGAAAAACTAGTTCAGCTCTAAAAATATATTTTGAGATACAGGTTTCGGGGGTATGTCATACTCGTCCTAATCATAGCGTCAGTCAGACCTTTCCTTTTTTCTGTCAGATTAGTGAATTATGACGTGCTATTTGAATTACGAGGAAGAAAATAAATATTTTCAACACTTTATCAAGACTGTTTCTAGTGATAATGAACCTATATTTGATGATAGAGTTGCCTCTGAAGGAGCATTGAATACTGTAGCAATTACGATTCTTACTCAATTACGAAATTGAGATAGAAACAGAAGATGAAAGTTGACTGTCAACAACCAATTTTTATATTGGTAAAGATAAAGTTAAAAAATGACATAAGAAAAAATACCGGCAAAATGTTAGGAAACCTTCAAGGAATATAATTAGCAAGCTTCCAGGTAATCAGCTTATTCAAGACATGTCGCTTCTCCCGTAGATGTATGGAATGTTTTCTGTGGTGCTGAATCAGGCAGTATATTTGTCCAAAAAGCCTAAGTATAGTTTGCACTGCTAGATTCTAGAGTATTTTATATCTGGAATATGGAGATTTATGCCGGTCAGCAACTCAATGGACCATTCAAGATAGACTAGCTCGAAATCCATTGTGATGTGGTTGATGACACAGCTTTTCAATTCTAGACGCCAATTGACAATTGGTATACGGGATATGAGCTAGTGCAAGAACTTTTGAAAAATAAACTTACAATGGTTGAAACACTTAGACAAAATAAAAGAGAAATACCGCCTGGATTTTTGGTGAAAAAGGAGCTATATTCTTCAGTCTTTGGATTTCAAAAAGAAACAACGATTGTTTCATATTCTGCAAAAAAAGTAATTATGTTATCCACGATTCATACTGATGATAAAATAGATGAAACCACCATGGAATTGAAACAAAAAACGAATATCATCATGCTTTATAATCTTACGAAAGGAGCTGTGGGCATTGTTGACGAAATGGCTCCAGCATACACTACAGCAAGGATATGAAATCGCTGGCCAATGGTTATTTTATTTTACATGTTGAATGAGGCTGTTATTAATGTCAGGATTTGTTGATGTTCATGAAACATCCTATCACACAGTTCAGAAGGAGACGTTTCTTTTTTAAAACACTGGAACTCATTCTTTCAGAACAACACAGAAACCATAAGCCTGAAACTTCTAAGGAATTGGAGATCTATAATAGTGAATCGCCTGTATAAAATCTCAAAGCAAATTATAAACGATGTGCATTTCATCCATGTAATAAGGATAGAAAAATGAAGATTTATGTGCCAAAAATGTGAAATAAGTCTTTGTTGAACATCAGTATGTAGTTTGTCGAAATTGTCTTTAAACATGTATGTATGCATAATTAAATTTACTAAAATTCTTTAATGTATTATTTTGTAATATTAAATTGTGTAAGGTTTTCTTATAAACAGTATTAATTCATATTTCAATAGCAGAATTAAACTGGGGTATGAGATACCTGGCGCGAGTTCTTGTGCTCGAAAATGGGTACGTGTTTTCGCGGGTTAACTACTGAAACATAATACTGTACAATTTAAAAAATAAACAACTAAAATTAAGATTCATATAATTATGAAATCATACCACAAAATTTATATAGGAAAATAAACCAGAAAGAAAAATATTTATTTATAATTTGCCAGTCGGGTGTGTTATCTCATATATATATAATTTCTTTGCTTTTGATATTTGTACTTTTTCCCTTTATTTTTAGGACTATATCAACAGAAATACTTCATCTGAAAAGGCCAATTTAGAACTTGCATTTCAAACTTACTTAGAGAAGCAAACAAGTGCTGAGAAAGAAGAATCTGTTAATTAGTATTGTTTAAAATAAAAAAAAAAAGTTAAGAACTTTTTTTTTTAGTTCAGTAAGTTATGTACATAGTATATTTATGAAATAAAACTTTCTTATCGCTTTATGTATGCATTAAGTAAATTTAAATTGGGTATGTGATTGATGTAAAATTAAATCGTGAAAATATTTTTATTTTTCGGGGGGGGGGTGTTCTAATGCATTGGATTTCTTAGAATACTACATTAAATTTTGTATTTTAGTGGCAGGATTCAAATTCAAATAATTTTAGTAAAATTAAAGCATTAAAATTCAGCATAATGATCAAATTTTCAGTCTTAGTCATATTTATATATATGTACATATATTTTAAATATCTGTGCGATTTATATTTAACAGACTTTTTAAATGTTTTACATAAACAAATTCATATAATTGATAATATAATAAATTCCCTTCCAAGGCATTTAAAAAATTAGATACATCACCTATAAAGTAACCATTAAGCCATAATTTTAGCAGAACTTATCAGTGTATTATATACTTATTCCATACCTTAAGTAGATTATTCAACTACATCAAATATGTATAATTTCATCTCATGAAGAAGACCACCTCAGAAATTCATCCAACATTAAAAAAATTCTAAGTTATTCAAAATTCAAAGTTAAAAATTCATCCAACATTCAGTAAGAAATCTGCACAGAATGCATTATTGTGGTATTTACACAGACAAGAAAGAATGTAACAAGAAAAGCGATCCTTCTCAATAGCTATTAAAAAGATATTTAAAAATATACTAATTATTTCATCTCTCTGTCTCACAAGTGCCTACTTAATATGCTTATCATCTGATTCGATTTCCATCAACATTTACTCATATTTAAAGCTCTGACCTATTTCACTGAGCTGGCATTCAATGAATATGAATACAGTAAACTCCCAATTAATTAAGCTAACATTGGAGATGGTATCCACAGTTAATTCAAAATCAGTTAATCAGCAGTTTTAAAAAATACATAAAAGAGAAAAAACTTACAGTTAACAAAAGATATTATTAACAATACCTATATTTTAAGCAGTTTATTTTAAGGACTATGTATATTTGACTATCTAAATTAGCTTTAGAAAGAGCAAACTTAAAACAACAAAAGATGCTGTTTTGATGTATTTCAACAACAGTCGATGAGAAACAAAATATTAATAGCTATACACTTAATTGCACATGTTTCTGACTTAGAAATTTATTTATTTACTTTCTTATTATTTCTATCTCCTGGTTTCAGTCAGTTTCTATCCCCCTATCAGTTAGTTAAATTCCTGTGTTTTGGGTACTTTTTTAGTATTATATAAGACAATAACTAACCCACATATGCACATACCATATGTTTGACTACAGATAAATTTACATATTTTATATGTAATTTTAGTTTTGTTGAATAAAAGTCACTGTTTGTGAAAATGGAGGCCCGAAGGCGAAGTAGCTAGCGCATCGCGCATCAGCACCACAGGTCCTAGATTCGATCCCCGGGCTGGGCAAGGTTGACTCAGCCTTTCATCTCTGGAGTGGATCGATAAAATGAGTACCAAGTTTGCTTGGGGACTAAACACCAGGGGTCCTGCGACAAGCTGACCACTTGTCCAGGCTAAGATACACAAGCACCCTGGAGCCCACGGTTTAGAAAGCAGATATCATGGCACTCCTGACTATGGCTCTCTATGGGCTATTTGTGTCACCAAGTTTAGTTTGTGAAAATGTAAATATCAGCCATATAGATATTTCTCAAAAAATATGTTTTTATATTTCTTTTTATGATTATTTATGGACAGAAAAATATGTGTAAGATGTAAAGCTAGCCAAACAAATATTTTTTGCCAATTCACCAATGAACTGCAGACTTTTCGTGGGAGTGCGAGTAATCAGAAAGTACCTTTATTTTTAATGAATGATTTAATAATATTTATATTTATAGGTTATATACTATTTTGAATGAAAACAATTCCTAATTACTATAATATTATGTATTAATTATATAATGTGTTTTTTAAACTCTACCTGCAAGGGTTAATTAATTGGGAATTGACTTTTTGATTTTCTCAAGGCCAAGCTTGAGCCTTCAACAATACTATCTATCTAAATAGTATAAAAAAAACATAATATTTATAGTACTGTTATTTTAGTTATAATCCAGTTGAGCAACAAGTATAAACAAAAACCATGCTCATATGACATTTACATTTGCATCTTTTAGATGATTTCTAATTTATTTAGAATTTTCATATTCACTGTATTCACCTATATGTGGCATTAAAATACCAGTATCAGTTGGGAGAATTGTGATGTAGTGCCATGAGTCATTTCAACGTAATGCAGCCATACACTATGTATTAAATGATATATCTTCTCTACAAAATTCTACATGTTGCATAATTATTAACTTTGTGTTCAAAAGTGATATTTAATAAATCATAGAATTAAGTACAGTCAATTAAATTTATTTAAATAAACTAATAAAAAGAAATATGAAGTAAATTACATAACATACAAAACAGATGAAATGAAATCACAACTCTAGATATGATATCAAAATATTATTTGTGTATTTTTATAAATTATATAAAACAAATATGCATAAATATTGCGAAATTCGAATAGAATAGTAAATCAGATAATATGCCTCATGACCGACATATTATAGTGGACTGCCATATTTAAGATTCATTATTTGTATTAGAAAATTTGTTCATGTTAATCTGTTAAAATAAATAACTCAAATGCTGTAAAAAAAAAAAAAAAGAGAATAAATATTTTTGTTAATTGAAATTCACCAGTATTCAGTGGATTAAGTAGGTAACAGATACATGCTTGTAAAATGGATTGAATATAATAGATTTCAGAATATCTATAAATATTTTGAATATATATAAATGCTTATGACTTATTTTGAATATATATATATAAATGCTTAAACATATATAGACACAAGCTTATAAAATGGATTGAATGAAACAGATTTCAGAATATCTGAAAAGGGTACAATGATTCAGAGTTTACAAATAATTCTCACAGAAAGAAATTATTATATGGGTCATCTAAACAGAATGCCTGGATTTTAAAAACACATCCACATATAAAATAAGGGGAGGAGTAATCCAAGATTTCATCTTACCTTAACAAGTTTGAATATTCCATTTATGACATTGCAGACCCTGTAACTGTAATCCTCAATTCCAAGTCTTAATGTGCTTGAGATCATAAATCCTTTTGTTTGTTATTTCTGTTCAACCCCTATGCACGTATTTTGCGGGAAAAGCTACTCTTGTTCTAATCCCACAACATGCGTACAAGAGGGTGAAACAGTACTCAGCATGGCTAGTCTTCTCATTGTACAGATACTGAAGCTTCTCTGCAGCACTGGAAGATGGTCTATTTGTCTTGATGCAGGCACTGAAGAATTGTTTTAATCCCATATCCACCAAACCTTACATTGTTTTGCAATGTTTTTGACATTTGACTCATTTGAAGTTATATGCTTTTAGAATCCATGGACAGTTTTTTGATGAAACTATTAAAAAGTTTGTAAAACTAAAATTTATTAGAATCAAATATAATATTTCGAATTACATACTTATATAAAAAGGAATTAATTTCCGAGATCATAAACATAAATCTATAGTGCATTAAAAGCTGCAATACATGATTATAATTTTGATTTTATTCTTCACAAGTAACATGAAGACATACTTCAATATCACGGTCTTAGAAAAATTATCACATTAATAATTCATCACAGTAGAAAAACATGTTTTAATACCATAATTTCAAATGTATGCTATTTATGTTGCTTAGTTTTAGTAAATTCTCAGGAGAAAAAAAAATTAAATATATATACAGGGTTGCCACGCTACCTGGAGAACCGGGAAAAGTCAGGGAATTCGAAAATTGACCAAATATTCAGGGAATTTAAGTATTTTTGTCAAAATCTGGAAAAGTCAGGGAAGTTCATACAACGATCCCGCCAAAAAAAGCGATTTTTGCGCCGACGTCGGAAGAGATAACTTTTTTGGCGAGTTATGTATCACGTGAGTGTCATTCGGGTAGCTGGCATAGAGCCAATTTTCGCAGCTCCAATTTGATTGTCTTTTAGAAAGGCAAAGTAATTTTCCCGCAAGTTTTGGTTTCCAGTATTCTCGAGAATCTCATGTGCAGTGCATGAATTAAAGAAAGTACCTGTTCTCGTATAAAACAAAATGGGTTTAATCCTAGTATACGGTACCATGGAGGTTAGAATCAAAGAACATGTATTGTAAAGAAGGAAAACCTCTCTGCAACAGACGTGGCTGTGGCTCCGTTCCATCATAGAGGGAAACAGCTGTGCATGTCTGATATATCTGTTGCCAAAGCTCGAAACCGGTGTCGAAGTTCGAAGGTCACGTTATCAAGAGTTCATAAAATGAATATCGTTTAAAATTTCTTTAACCACTTGCGCTAAAAAGACGTGCCACGCACGTCGAGATGCTTTTGTCTCAAACCGCGAGCGACGTGAACACCACGTCGATAAGCATTTATCGCGAAAATGAAAATAACGTGGTGCACACGTCGCCTAACAATGAGATTGTTTATTTCTCGAGTTACAGCTCTGGATTGCACTCGCAGATGCGGAGCGGCGTAAATAAGACACTTTACCGCTTGTTATATTGTAGCGCATGGCACCGCAACCGTGAAGTTTAGTCTTAGCGCAAGTGGTTAAACTGTAAAGGAAAAGAAATATTTTTTGGTGCAAGTAAATTAATTCATGGATTAGTTATTTTCAGGAAAAAAAAAAACTACGAAAATCCGTTTTTAAAAATTATTGCGAAAATCCAAGAAGAAACGCCCTTTGATAAAACATTTCTTCTTGGATTTTTCGCAATAATTTAAAAACGAATTTCGTAGTTTTCTTTTTGTCAAAGAGCGTTTCTTCTTAACACGTGTTTCTCAATTCCTGTACACATCGTGGAGAGGGAAATTCTGGCCGCCAGGTTTCGTCCGCCAAATCCCTTGGCAAATTTTCCCTCCGCATTCTAGCGGCGTAATAGGCATTTACATTGTATGGAACCTTTCCTTCTTTACATTAGACATTCTTT